GAGCAGAATTTCCCCTCCGGATCTCACAAAACATCAGCCTTTACATTTTCAGGCATAGAGGTGACTCAACAAGGTGACAATAGTGTTCATGTAAGCCAATCGGCTTATGTTCGCAAGATTCCTCCCGTTCCAATTGACATCAACCGTAAAACTTTAAATGATCAACCAGTCAATGACCAAGAAAGACTTGCCCTCACAGGTCTTGTAGGTAGTCTTCAATACGCAGTCACTAACACAAGACCAGACCTTTCCAGTAAACTTTCGTTTCTTCAATCAGCCATCAACCATGCAACTGTGGAGACTCTGCATGAAGGCAATCGACTACTACATGAAGCAACTAGACGACGGTTGGCCCGAGAGCGAAAAAGATGTTTTTCAAGCAGCTCTGAGGATGGTAGTCGTAAAAGATAGTCGGTGAATAGTTGGTGAATTTTATATGAGCTATGGAAAGATATGGTGTGAAAAAGTAAGATTGATCAAGAAGAGAATATTTGGTAAAGGGCATCAGATGACATGTGTCTTGCAACCACAGAGAGAAAGAGGGGGCAGAGATAAAGAGAGAGAGAGAGAGAGAGAGAGAGAGAGAGAAAGAGAAAGCAGAGAGAGAGAGAGAGAATGAAAGGGGGGGTAGAAAGAAAACATGAAGAAATGTAATGTGAGCAACAAAAGTGCACAGGAGGCTCAGTGCCATGAGTCTGCGAATGACATGTGCTATCTCATTTTATTATGGTAATTCCCACACACATTGCGGAAAAAGGCGCGGCACCATCATTCCGTGAACGCGAAGAAACGCGACGCTTTTATACAGAGACGCTTTTACACACAGAATCTTTTACACATAAACACTTTTACACACAGACGCTTTCACACAGAGACGTTTTTCATGCACACACACACAGACGCATTTCGGAATGCGTAAAATCTTGCATCATCTCGCAATGCCTCTGCATCCGACTTTCCACACCATCGGACGACGCGGATGACGCGGTCCCATGCTCCATTCGCACAGACGTTCCCGTCAGCAAATGAAACAGCGACCACAAAACGTCCACACAGAAGTGCAAGAAATGTTAAAGATACCTGTTGGCCAATCGTCACTTGTTTCTCGAACATTCAGCGTACATATAAGAATATGGATGTTCACTCCGTGCACAATGCATCTTGTCTCTACGTTCACGTCTGAGCCCAGGAAAGAGATAAAGAGGTAAACTATGCTTGTCGCTGCAGAGTTGCACAATCCACTGCAAAGCATTTGTTCTCTGACTTCCAAACTGAGAACACCACTCATGAGTTTGACATGGCAAAGAACCACTGTCGCAGAGACCTGCAAACTGAAGGCTGAACGCATCAACAAAAAACTAGTTTAACAAAGCTCGGTAACAAAAAACTCAGCAGCTCGGCAACACCATCTTGCATCATCTCGCAATGCCTCTGCATCCGACTTTCCACAGCATCGGACGACGCGGATGACGCGGTCCCATGCTCCATCCGCACAGACGTTCCCGTCAGCAAATGAAACAGCGACCACTAAACGTCCACAAACGTCACGGGTGCGTGACTTCAAACAAACATTTTGCATTCAGAAATTCCGAGACATGCATATCTATTCCCTTGATTTCAAAACAATGCCATGACATGCTTGATTTCAAAACAAAATTGAACGGTACAATATTGAACGGTACAATGATTCCCGTAGTATTTTTTTGTCCACTGCTCATGCATTTCAATGAAAACATCACATATATTTTTTTCGTGCTATACATCACATAGATCCACTGCATCGTAAACAAACACTGACATTGTCACAATGCAATTCTCGAGATCTCACGGACACACCAAACGAACCAAGCTCCGCACGTCCTAGCACGGATACACTAGCAAGCATTGTCACCCTCAATCTCTAACAGTTCCATGTCGTGCGGTCAAAGTACACACAAAATCTTTTACACACAAACGCTTTTACACATGGTGCTTTTACACAAACACACTTTGACACACAGACGCTTTGACACACAAAAGCCTTTACACACAAACGCTTTTACACACAGACGCTTTTACACACAGACGCAACGCTTTTACACACAGACGCTTTTACACACAGACGCTTTTACACACAAAAGCTTTTACACACAGACGGTTTTACACACAGACGCTTCTACACGCAGATACGTTTTACACACGCACACACGCTTTCACACACAAACGCTTTTACACACACACGCTTTCAAACACAAACGCTTTTACACACAGACGCTTTTACACACAGACACTTGTACAGAAACGAAAGCGTCCATCGCAATTTTTCCTCAGTTTTTGACGTCCAACGTCCATTTCGTGCGAAAGGGTTACGATTGACCAAGTAAAATCGCAATTTTTCCTCAGTTTTTGACGTCCAACGTCCATTTCGTGCGAAAGGGTTGCGATTGACAACTCAAAGTCGCAATTTTTCCTCAGTTTTTGACGTCCAACCTCCATTTCGTGCGAAAGGGTTGCGATTGACACCTCAAAGTCGCAATTTTTCCTCAGTTTTTGAGTCCAACGTCCATTTCGTGCGAAAGGGTTGCGCGCGACCAATAAAAGTTGCAATTTTTCCTCAGTTTTTGACGTCCAACGTCCATTTCGTGCGAAAGGGTTGCCGGGGACGCTTCAAAATCGCAATTTTACCTAGGTTTTTGACGTCTAACGTCCATTTCGTGCGAAAGGGTTGCGCGGGACACCTCAAAGTCGCAATTTTTCCTCAGTTTTTGACGTCCAACGTCCATTTCGTCCGAAAGGGTTGCGCCGGACGCTTCAAAGTTGCAATTTTTCCTCAGTTTTGGACGTCCAACGTCCATTTCGTGCGAAAGGGTTGCCGGGGACGCTTCAAAATCGCAATTTTACCTAGGTTTTGGACGTCCAACGTCCATTTCGTGCGAAAGGGTTGCGTTTCGTGGCGCTCCGGCGGCACCGCTCCCGCCTTAAGAGAGAATAGAAGAAGAGCGAGAGGAGATCTGCAGATGTGAAGGTGTGAAGATGTAGATCTGCAGATGTGAAGGTGTGAAGATGTAGATCTGCAGATGTGAGGGTGTGATGATGTAGATCTGCAGATGTGAGGGTGTGAAGATCTAGATCTGCAGGTGTCAGGATGTGAAGATCTAGATCTGCAGGTGTGAGGGTGTGAAGATCTAGATCTGCAGATGTGAGGGTGTGAAGATCTAAATCTGCAGATGTGAGGGTGTGAAGATCTAGATCTGCAGGTGTGAAGGTGTGAAGATCTAGATCTGCAGGTGTGAAGGTGTGAAGATGTAGATCAGCAGATGTGAAGGTGTGAAGATGTAGATCTGCAGATGTGAAGGTGTGAAGATGTAGATCTGCAGGTGTGAAAGTGTGAAGATCTAGATCTGCAGGTGTGAAGGTGTGAAGATCTAGATCTGCAGGTGTGAAGGTGTGAAGATCTAGATCTGCAGGTGTGAAGGTGTGAAGATCTAGATCAGCAGATGTGAAGGTGTGAAGATGTAGATCAGCAGATGTGAAGGTGTGAAGATGTAGTATAACGGCTGCTTTTTTACGAAGAACCCTTTGCAGGCGCTCTCGGGAAAAAGGTACCATGATGTTGCCATTGTAATCCGACCAATCCCTGTGCAGGACTTCAGATTCATGGCATTCTGTGATGCACCGTTTTCCTCCAATAAGAAACCCGATTCACACGCAAGTATGATCATCGTAGGTACACACAAAGACATTGCCAACAATCGACAGTGTCCAATCAGTCCCATTGCATGGGGATGCAAAAAGGTCCAAAGAGTGGTCACAAGTACCCTGGCAGCCGAATCCACTTCGTTAGCATCAGCGCTGGACCAACTGGCATGGCTTCGAATTTTCTGGTCATGGTTGCACGATCCCAGCGTGAATTGGAGGAAACCAGAACAAACCTTACCTCAACTTAACCCGGCCATCACTGCACCAACCTTTGAAACCACAGCCGACATTGCCATAGCAGATTGCAAAAGCCTTAATGATCTAACTACAAGAACAGCTCCTCTGTCATGCTCAGAGTTTCGTGTACAACTTGTATCCAGAGCTAGCAAAGAAGCCTTATCCGAAGGCATTATGCTGCGTTGGGTGCATTCAGATGCACAACTTGCCGATGCTCTGACCAAACAGATGGAGTCTCATTTCCGCAGAGAAACCCTAAGACTGGGACAATACCGTCTCCATGATGAGAATGCCATTTTGAAGGAAGGAGCCAAGGCAAAAGATCGCCTGAAGTGGCTCCGCGGGCCATCTGATGCATCCAATAAAAAAGAAAAATAGGGAATGTGATTTTCCAATTTGCGACCATGGATGCATCAGCCAGTAACCCAACGGGTCCAATAAGAAATCCAACATGCATTCCCGGTCAGGTGAAGCATAGTTCTCTTGTCTTGCACTGTGGCTCAGGTGCCCCGTGGTGGGAGGGCAGTGGTAGTGTCTAGGTGCCATAGGGCTACTTGCGACCGGGTTCGCATACTGGAACGTGGCCGTTCCTCGTTGGCTTGGAAGCCTTGACATCGCTGCTTGTCCGAAGATCAGGTTTGGGAAAGTGGTGCTTCCCCACTTACAATATACATATATATATATATATATGTATGTATATATATACACACTCTCGGACATTCGTCTCAAGTCACGCGAACGTGTGAGACCGGTGCGCACGCCGACGAGTATTTCGTGAGCGTACGGACCTTTTCCGCAAATTAATTAAATGCAGCTGCCCGCGTCGGGGAAAAGCGAATTGGGTCGCAAGTTCCTGCAAGGCCCAAGGGTCCAGACAGCAGATGCGACCAGAATACCTAGCAAATCGGCGCAAATTGCTGGCAGCGAGCAGGGGCGTGCCAGAGAATGCAAACCATCAAAAGTGAAAAAAGAAAAGAGCGGGCCGTGCCGCACGAAGGCAAAACCCAGCAAATGCAATCAATATACGAATTTACTGGCCAACGCCGGTTGCGTTGGACCAGCGCAACGAGGTGGCCTTTCCAACATCAGTGGCTCTCCAGCTTGATCAGGTTCGAACCACGAATTGCAACACATCGATCATTGTGCACACGGACTCCGTACCTGTCATTGGCAGTGCGGCTGGGGATAACGATGCCTTTGACGCCGTTCAAGCTGTCATCAGAGAGGCCGGTCAGCAGCACTTGGTCACCAACGCGAATGCATTCATTTGACTTGTCTGCCATTGCAATGCCTTGGCTGTCAGGTAGGACATCGAGGTTGCAAGGGCGGATTGCAACCTGACCACCATTCGACAAAAGCACACCGTAACGGCCAGAACGAAGGCACGTGGTTACTGTACCGGTTTGCCCGTTCATACCGGCCGTCTTGAGGCCTCTCAGAACAACTTGTTCACCAGTAGCATATGCCGACTTTTGGACCCGTGGCAGGACAAGATTGTGGTCGCAAATGTCATGCTTCACAGCTCCCAGGCCGGAAGAATTCCAATCAACCTGCAAATCTTCCAAGCCTGCCTGTTGCGCAAACACCTTCATAGCGTGTTCCAGCAACTCATCATCAAAGCCCCTTTCCTTGGTGCGCACCTCCACCACCCGGGCACGGGAAGGAGTCCGCTTTGTTGTGCGAACATGAGGTTTTCTAGACGAGCTCGAAGCAGATTGCGATATCTGATCTGAAAAGGGCAGGTGACGAGCCAGACAAATCTCCACGCGCGGGCCATCCGCAGGAACGTCACAAGACCCGTGCCCCGCCTGCGGGCGGTCACTGCCGAAAAATCCACAACATGGGCATGGCATGCACTGATGCAGGGCCATTGCGAAATGAAATGGCATCCATGCCTGCCACACAAACCAATGCCATAAGAATGGGTCCAGCACAGGAATCACAACGTAAGGTGAGTCAGCGCGGAGCGCCATGGCAAGGACGAAGGCAGATCGCCACGGAGATACAGCGGGGGAGCCTGAACTGAACAGCAAGACACAAGGGCGCGAACGCAAGGAGCCAACGCCGCCCTGAATCACGGCCGGAACGCCACAGCCGCCAGACGGAAAAGCCACGAACAGCACAAGACCCAAGCACCTGATGTGAGATCACAAAGGAAGGGCACAAGACGAATAAGGGGACAGAAACACCTGAGAGCACAAAAGCCAAGGACCTGAAAGAAAGAGAAACAGGACCTGAAAGCAAAGAGAACACCGGGGTTCAAAACCAAACAAAAGCACTCCTCAAGCTATCTGTCGAAACGGCCCCACCACTGGAAGGTTGCTTGAGCCAAGGGCTGTATATATATACACATATATATATATACATATATATATACATATATATACATATATATATATATATGACATGTATACATATTTTTTATTTGCAGATATGTATATATATATTCATATTTTATCAGCATACTTGAGCTGAAAAATGCTGAAAAAACAAAAAATACCTACTTTGTGTAGCTGCAAACAAAGTGAATGTTGACCACCTGTCACCAGCGCTTCTTTGTGAGCAATGCACTTCGCCCGAGCCGTGTTCACGATGAAGCGTTGCAGCTGCTGTGGGCACAGTGTGTTTCCTGTGTGTTTTTATCTATAGAAAACCCTATATAAACGTGACAGATGGTTGGCAGCAACGGAGCATCGGGTGGCATCTGACCCCAGCATCTCTGGTAGCGTCAGCATCTCTGGAAGCATCGAAGCATCGGACAAGGGCTGAGCAGAGCACCCTGAAGATCATCGACGTATCATGAAGCATGCAGCTGACTGCTATGACGGGTATGACGGCTGTGAGCTGTCCTGACATGTCGTCTAGGTCCCCCACAGAATCCACACCCTTTCCGATCATCGCTCGAACCGTCATGGTACGGGCGTGATAGTCCCCCCTGAGCTCAGGGCGTCAGGAGCCATTGCCGAATGCTTTTTGTGAATTTTGGGGTGTGTGTCTGTGTGCTTGAGACGTGTCCCATGACGTACTACACAAATATATATATATATATATTCATGTTTTATTGATGTTTTCACAAAATGTTTCATATTTTCTATCTGTGTCTGTTGTGTCTGCTTCAAGCCTATTGTGAAGACAAGATATCATTTGTTCGTGTTTTGTTTTTGTGTTTTGTTTTCAGTTTTGTTTCGGGTTCGTTCAGATTTTCAGTTTCGGGTTCGCCGTGGCGCCTGAAATTCAGGATGGTGCCGTCAAAGTAAGTCTCGCGCAGCTGGTCCTTCGTCACGCTGAAACTCCGTGTCTCCTGCCACAACGGTCAGAAAAATATAATATGTATGTATATATATGTATATATATATATGCAAGTATTTCTATATATATATATGCATATATATATATATATGTATATATGTAAGTGTCTATGTATATATGTAAATTGAAATATATATATTTATATAGATATATAATATATATATATATATTTCTTTAAATATATTATCAAGTGTACACATATATGATCCAGGGGCCTTCAGGTACTATTTTGTTGCTTTGCTCTCCTCCGTTTTTCTTTCTTTTGATCTAGTATAATTTATTTCATTCATTCAATTAATTTAATTAGTCTAACTAATCTCATGAATCTAAAAAAAATAATAAATTTTACTAATTTAAAAAAATTAATTAATTCAATAAAAAAACATTTTCGTTAATTTAATTAATTTAACTTACTTATCTAATTAATTTAATCTAATTAATTTAATTAGTTTAATCGGTTTCATCAATTTAATTAATTTAAGAAATTTGATTAGCCTAATTAATTTAATTACTTAAATTTAAAAAGTTTAAACAGTTTTTGTTAATCAATATTACCAAAGCCATTTAAAATTGCCAAAAGGGGCAAAGTTGCCAAAATGATCAAAATTAACAATTTGCCGAAAAAAAACAAGCAAATTGGTTAAAATAAAACGGTGAACCTTTGCCCAAATGGCTAAAAATACAACATTGACCAAAATTAGCAAATTCGATTAAAATCGGCAGATAGCCACAATTTGCCAATATTGCTCAACTTTTCCAAAATGGGCTCAAACCGGTCAAAATTGCCAACAAGACCAAAATCAACAAATTGCGAAAATTGCAAAAAGTACCAAAATGCCAAAACGGCGAACAATTGCCAAAACTGGCAAAGTCACCAAAATTAGCACATAGTCAAAATCAGCAAGAATGACAAATTTTGCCAAAAATTGCCACATGTGGCAAAAA